AAGATATACGACTTGTATCCAAGTACTCGAGGAAAAAAGACACATACACCAAATTAGTTCTTTTTCATTCGTGAAGGAGACGAGTTGAATTTGGTCGAGTTATTAAGTTTTCAATAGATGACAGATATTTGAATGGTCAAGGTATACAACTTGTATCCAAAAACAATAAATAAATAAATAAAAAGAAAGAAAAACATACCAAACATGAAATTAGGGATGCAAAACATAATTGTACCCAGGCCCAATTCAGAAGGCCCGAAAAAAAGGGCGAGCTCAACACGACACGATCTGTAGTGCCAGATGTGAAGGTCTAGATTAAATATGGAAATGAGCTCATCTTCCTCCTTGAAAATAAAAAACTCAAACCTCCACCATTTTGAGCCATAACTTTCACAAATCTTCATGGAACTAAGCAAATCAATAATAAAAATTCATTTACTCAATATCACGAACAACATGTAGTGCTCATAATTTAACAAGCAATAATCAAATTTGTGAAAATTACTCGTATATAGTAGGTTACGAATTTGTTTGATTTGTCCATTCTATCTACTTTCATGAAAAATAACCTCACCTAGATATTCGTCTATCCCATTGTCGTCTCCTAGATCAAAAGAGATTAAGGTAATGGAACACATAATATTGAAGCTTGACAACTCTTGAACCACCTCCCGTTCAAAGGGGGTGAAATCATCAGGAGATAAACTAGCGGAGACCTTCAGATTACTCATCCAATACAATGAAAAAAGGGAGCACATGTCTCCCCAGTCGTGACCATTGAATCATCATATCGCTCTTGAATCTCACAAATTTGTACTTCCAATCAGGGTAGGGGTTAGAGTGGGATGCTAGAAGCTTCTTCCCCAAAAGTCTAAACAAAGTCACTCAACCATTTGTGGGGTTTGGTTTGACACTGTAGAAGGAAAATAATAGCCTAACAGTAGGAGAAATGTTCATGATGCGACACGGAATCTTGAAGGCTCTGATGATACCTCAAATTAGAAGGGGCGACATTGCTGGTTGTCAAGAATTCAACCTCAAATAGTGTAAAAGTGATTAATACCCCAACATAATAAATAACAGGAAGATGGAAGTAGAAATAAGGAATGAATGGACCATCTATGACAACCATATTAGCCATCACCCCTTTAAAACAAAGCTCCAAGATTACATATTCTTCGTGCCAATGCTAGAAAGCCTAATCTGTCGTCGAAAGGTCGTAACCTTTTCTTCGTCAAAATATAGAGACACAAAGTCCTACACATTAATGTGTTTGTCACCCCTTCTTATTAACTTATGATAAACACAAGAATTACAAAAAAAATGCACGGGCTTTCATCTCACCAGAGTCCCTATCTATGATATTAAAAGAGTAATTTGGCATCCCAAAGAAAAATCAAGAGCAAAATGGAAGAGGGGAATCATACATGTAACTGTAATTAAGACCTTGGGGAAAATGAGCTTTGCACCCGTACAAACTCCTGAGTAGGAATGAAAGCTTGAGTGGAAAACAGATTCGAGGAAAAATACCTAAGCCTTTTTATAAGGGAATAAGTCCAGTTATATGGTCAACCTACTGCTTGAACATCTCAATAGTTACAAGAAATAGGAAAGATCCATTGTATTTGATACACATGTAAGGAGTAAGGTCAATTTTGGCTTCCTAAGAAAGATTAGTATTAATTATATTTAATATAATGCACGTTTGTCCAATCGATGCTTCAATTTCTCTCAACTAACTAACATTTAATTTCTTTCAGTTGATTAACATTCGAATTCCGACAGCTGACGCGTTGGTTGCATCACTAACACATGAGAGCATGTCTTAGAACCAACCACGCAAAGACGACGCCTCACATTTGATGTCCTGCCCGAAGGATTCTACCGAGTCTCGGTTAAGGGATTGGACTAAATCTCACATGAAGGACTCAACAAAGTCTCACTTGAAGGACTCAACTAAAACCCCAAAAACTAAAGGTAAGAGTCAAATTTCGACTAGGCTCCTATGGAAGGCCCGGAGATGAGTAAGGTAGGAAAACACTTCGGTCTCTATAAGCCATCGTGCTTAAGGGACTATGTAGTTGAGTAATTGGAAGAAATCATGGGGGCATGGTGAAGGCATATGTTTCGCCAATCGTTCTTTCTAAGTCACCTTTTTATTGGTTCAAGCACTCTTTTTTCGGACAAGATGTCTAGATCCTTAGTGTTTACGCCCACAACGCACAATTGTGTGTGGAACGTGTGATGAGTCAACAAACTATCCATTTCTTGATTAATTGCTACATCTTATGAAGACTTGGAGGATCCATGCCTATAGAGTATAAATACATCATTGTTATGATGAACAAAGATATCTACAACATAGAAATGTAAACGTACATGAGTGTCTCACCCCATGTGACCTAGCTCTCAACCCTACAACAATCTTAAAGCCTTTTCAATCCTATAACAACCTCTAAGCACTATGGATTGTCACACATTTGTATTTTAGCAAGGATATATTACTTTTTTCCACTCTGAATTTATCTAGTAAAATCAAATTATAGCTAATTAGGCCGTGTGCAAGTGCAACAAGTGTTATAGACCCTAAATTTTGAAATGCCCCAAATTTTAAAAGGTTCAATTTTTATTATTATAAATATTAATAGAAATAAACAAAATGTTATAATAAAAAAAAATCTATGGTAAAAACTTAATACATAGAGATTAATCAAAATTCAAAATAATTATAATTTATTTATTTTTGATTAATATATAATTGTATTTTTTATATATTTTTTTAAATTATTATAATTGCATTTTTTAAAATTTGGATCCATTTTTTAAATTAGAACGAGACCTCTAAAATTATTAAACTATTTTAGAGTTAATGTCTGAGAATTAAAAAATTCGATCGTTTAATATAATCAATTTTTAAAGTATTTGATAAATATAAAATTATATGTATATTTATCATCTCTTAAGTTATACTTATATTTAATATATTTCATATCATATCATATTTACAATGATAAAATATCAATTGAAATTTTTGTTTAAAGTTCACATTATCTCAGAAAATTTTGATAAAAGAAACTGTAAATTGGTGTTGTGATTTTAATCAACAGTGATATATGCAGGCATAATTAATTATTTTTATTGTTTTTCATCAATAACAATGAGTGAGAAAAAAAAAGATTTATCCATTTTTAGGCAAAGTTTCACCGTCTATAAAACACGTTTTATTACATCATTTGTTTAATTTGATGTTTTTCTTCATTCTTAAATTCATTTCATAATTAATCCAGACAAAGATGTTGAGTATAGTTAAAAACATTTCTATCAAAGGCATCATAACTATTTTTACAATATACTATTATATTTGACACTAAAATTAGTGGGTAATCAACCAACCAAAAACGGTATCTGAAACCGTCACAATAAACCAAAAATAGAATCACTATTTATTGTGAAAGTGATTATTTATTTATTTATTTTGTTATGTAATGAGTTATGAGTAAATATTCATATCATATATCAATCAAATATCCCACCTCAATTTGTCTTGATTCTATTATTAAAAGACACCCTTAAAAAGTATTAACGTTAATACGTACACATCAAAATGTGACACCAAATATGAAAATAGCTAATGGAGAAAGACAAATACTTAAAAATTATGCTATTTTGTCTAATGGTGCACACCACCAAAACATTCCAACATGATTGAAAATACAAACATCAATGGAAACAAATAAGTACATCATGCTATTAAAGTTTGACAGTGTCAGAAAATTAATTTCTTAACAATCTAAAAAAGATAGTGTTAGGATAAATTAAAACTATATAGTAAAATCAAACTGAATATTAAATACAGAATATTTATGCAATGTATCTACTAGGACGTGTTAATGTTAATGTTCAAACCGTTACAACAACCAAACGTGACTGTTAGTGCAATACAGTTCAGCACAAATGTTCTCATTGTTCCCACTAGCTTTAGATCTCCACCGTTCATCATATTTCTCAATTTTAAAAGTTATTACATCAAAGGCTATAAATTTAACTAGCTTATCTTAAATGCTCCTTCATCGGCATCAGAACAAAATTCATATATTAATGATTGAGTTAATATCTCTCTTTCATAAGTTGAAGAAGAATAATTGAAATTTTATTAAAATATTTTCTTTTCATATGATATTGATTAGATATATAATTAAAAAATTATCATTAATATTATATTTAAAATTGAAAATAAAATTTTATAAAAAACTGAAAATAGCATTTATAATAACTTTTTGTTAAAATTATATTTTTATAAAATAGAAAGAGTAGTGTGCAATTTTTATTTTTATTATTATTTGGTAATTGGTAACATCTTTGTGAAATATCTTTGACTCTAAGGAATTGTTAATAAAAGTGAGATTTGGTTTTTCTAAAATTGAATAACTATTAAACATAAATTTTATTACTCTAATTTTTATTTTTAAAAAATAAAACTAAAGTAGTATGTTAAGTTAACTCAAATATCTTAAATACATATGTATTTAGAAAACAAGATTAAAAAATATATAAAATAATAATGTTTCTTATTAAATCAATTCAATTTATAGCTATATAGGAATATCAGAACATATGTGTGATTAAATCGCAAGATCTCATTTATTGACTTTTTTAAATTAAAAAAATGAATATCATAAAATTCAAAGATAGTTGATAATATTTTATTGAAATGTATAAATTTTAACAAAAAAAAGAGTGTTATTAAATTTCAAAGAAGGTCATTTTAGTAATTGAAGTAACATTAAAAAAATACAAAAGTAGTCTTTATTTTACTCTTTTTTTCTTATTTTTTTCGCGTTCTTCGTCAACTTCCACTACAGAGAGAGCTCTGTGTTATTTATTAAATTATTACTCTTCCGAAGCAAAAACGGAACATGCGAATCTTCCGTTCTGAGCTTCTGAGTTGAATCGTTCACTGAGTCTAACTACCGAGTTTGAACCTGCACAGATCTTCCAGCATGTTTGACGGCTTGCTCGGCCGAGGATTCGCCGCGAAATGGTTCAGTTTTTCGATTTGTTATTTTTGTGATTTTTGCATGTTAGATTTAGCTTCTGATAGAGAAAAATTGGAAGAGTTTTGAAATGTAGTTATGATGCTGTTTTTCACTTTTTTTTTGTTTTGTTTCTTCAGTAAATCGTTGATCAAATTGACGAAGAATCGGATCGATGTGATAAGGAGGAAGAGGAAAGCGACGGAAAAGTTTCTCAAGAAAGATATCGCTGATCTGTTGGCGAATGGATTAGATGTTAATGCTTATGGAAGGGTAATTGCTTCTTGTTTTTGGTTTTGTTGTTTTTTTGTTTCTTATGGATTCAGTTATGTGAGATTATTATCTGAAATCGATCAATATAGTTTTTCTGAGTTTTGGTCTTGCTTGTTTCAACTGGTAGTCAAAGAATGTAGAACGGATTCTGAAGTTGGATGATGATTTGGTGATTTGATACTTGTTTTTGTTCGGTTTATAATTAGAATAGGATGGAAGTTGATTGATTTAGTTATGCTGAGTTTTGGTCTTGCTTGATTCTACTACTAGTCAAAGAATGTAGAATGGATTCTGAATTTTGACGGTGTTTTGGCGATTTGAGACTTTGTTTTATTCGGTTTATAATTAGGAATGGAATGGAACTTGAGTGAGATGAGATTTTTTTTCCACTGTGTTTTTTCTGTTTATATCAATTGAAATAGTTATGCTGAGTCTTGGTCTTGCTTGATTTTACTGATAGTCAAATAATGTGGAATGGATTCTGAATTTTGATGATGTTTTGGCGATTTGAGACTTTGTTTTCGGTTTATAATTAGGAGTAGAATGGAATTTGAGTGAGATGATAACTGTGTTTTCCACTGTTTATTTTGATATGGTTATGCTGTGTTTTTGTCTTGCATGATTCTACTAATAGTCAAAGAATGTAGACTGGATTCTGAACTCTGATAATGTTTTTCGCGATTTGAGACTTTGTTTAATTTGGTTTATAGTTAGAAATAGAATGGAACTTGAGTGAGATGAGGATTGTGTATTCCATTACAGAGACAGCTCTGTGTTATAGTTATGCTGTGTTTTTGTCTTGCATGGTTCTACTAATAGTCAAAGAATGCAGACTGGATTCTGAATTCTGAAGATGTTCTGGCGATTTGAGACTTTGTTTAATTTGGTTTAGAATTAGACATAGAATGGAATTTGAGTGAGATGAGGATTGTGTATTCCATTGTGTTTTTTTTCTGATAAATTTATTGGAAATATGAATAACTTATCTGCTGTAATTGTTCTTTTTGAATTGATAGAGACCTTAGGACTTATGAGAATTTTAAATTTGCCAATGATTATTGTGTTTGCAACACACTATTTTCTTGATTTAACTCTTCTTTACTCATGAGATGGTTTTACAGGCTGAAGGACTCACTGCAGAGTTGACATTGACATCTTGTTATGATTTTGTTGAGTGGTCCTGTGATTTTGTGTTGAAGCACCTCTCAGTGCTGCAGAAACTGAGGTATAATTCTATTTTAATGGTTATGATTCAGATGTGGATGCAATAGTTTTATTTCTCAGGGGTGTATTTTCATTTGAATCATGGCTGATAATTGATAAAAGCAACACGACAGGCTTGATGTGTCTATTTTAATTGCTTAGCTCTGTAGTACCAACACCTCTGAAAAAAGGCGTCGGTGTTGACGTGTCAGTGCGGTGTCGTGTCTGGCGTCCGTGTCTGTGTTCGTGTTTCATAGTTGCTTAGGCATGAAAGTAGATTTTATTTAGATTTAAGTTTATGGAGCATGAAAATGAGTAATGACTAATGATTGTATGTTTATACTGGGCATCAATGCCCAAGCCATCAACATTTGTATAGAAGTATGAAAAGCCATCTCTTATAGAAATTCAGTAGTCCCGCTTTTTTTTGGCAGTTATATGAAAGAGACAGGCAATTACGGCTGCATGGTTTTCTAATTTTACCTGACTTTTATCAGCTTGTTACTATGTGAATTGAGTGTTCAGTTTCATTTGCTCTTTGAATCTTGTTATTCAATAACTTTGCCATCCTAAATCCCTATTATTGATCTGAAAATAAATCATAGAAACATTTTAGTGTGTTGGATAATATAGAAGCATTCTTACAAAATCTTGTACGTTATCCTGCTGCCACTTTACTTTCCTGTATTTAAAGCAAATGAATCTCTTAAGCTTATTTTTTTCAATATTTATTCATTTTGGTTGAAAACAGGCAATGGAATGGAATCACTGTGCACTATATTATTTTGAACCACTCAGGGAAATTTTTTCCTTCTTCAACAATGTCATAATTTTTGAAAGAAAATAAACTAAATAAGTCGGTAATGCACCATAAGTAAATGTGTCTGTGTATAGATCTTACATGTTTCTAGCTGAATATAGCTCTGGGTATGTAATCCTTATACATATTGCAGCACATTGCTGAATATGGCTTTGAGCGAATAGGCTTTCTTAAAAGTGGAATATTAAGAATAATATGGCGTCAAATTGTAACCGATGATTTTCATGAATAGTTGTCTGAAAAGTTATAAGAATTAATACTTGATGGCTTGCATGTGAAGCACATTGTACCGAAAAGTGAAAGAAAGGCCAAGAATATTCATTTTGTCGGTAGACACAGAACAAAACTTAATGTTGTGAAGTCATATACTTGATGTCATGCAAGTGAAATATAGGAAGGTTTAAGAGTGACAAAATTATTCATTTTCTGTGGTATAAATTTCAGTGTTGCAATATTATTATTTTTCATTATTATTTTGAGCTGATCATCATATTATTGGCCCTACTACTCCGCTTTCCCCATAATTCTTCTTATACCAGTGGGCCATGCATGTTGTTGTCCAATATTTCCTGTGGAATGCTGTTGTTGAACCTGTTTTTGTCTGCCGGTGTGTAATTCTGGACACATGCAGTGTCCAAACATCCCTTAATTGATGTGTACTTAAACTGTTTCAAATCTTTTACAGTGGATGTCCTGAGGAATGCAGGGAATCTATAGCGTCTCTGATTGTTGCTGCTGCAAGATTTTCTGATCTACCAGAGCTACGTGACCTTCGGCAAATATTTCAAGAGAGATTCGGAAACTCCCTAGAATGTTATGTCAATCAAGAGGTCACTCTCATTTTTTTTTTGTCATTACAGTTATACATATCTATGACTTATTCCTGAACTGACTCATTAAATTACTACTTGTCAGTTTGCTGCAAATTTGAATCCAAAGTCTTTTACCTTGGAGCAGAAGGTCTGGTTGATGCAAGAGATTTCTTCCGAGTTTTCAATAAAATGGGACTCCAAAGCTTTTGAACTAAGGATGTCAAAATCCTCTGCTTTCGCACAGGTGTTGTCCTCAACCTCTTCTTACATTTTTCTCTCTGGTTTGTTTGACAATTGTCAATTTAAAATTTTTTCCAATTTGATATAACGTTTTCCCCCATTATTTACATTAATACTTTCATTCTCTTATGTTTTTATTTTCCAGTTGGGGGAAACCATTTTAACATAGGCTTATATCTTTGTGTACATGCCAATATACCTTAACAATAAAATACATATGCTTGTGCAGGGCTACAATACTTATAAGCTTGACCATTCAGTTAAACCATCATTACAAGGCAAGCATGAGGTTGTGTTAGAGAAAAGTCCTGACTATTCTAACGATAGACAGAAATTTCGGAATGGCAAGGAAGCTGCCTCCTCAAAAGGAGATGAAAATTATCTACACCCCAAATCTAAACTTGCTGAAAAAGGATTCAAGCCAATAAGTAAGCATGATGAAGTCAGTCTGCCGAGGGACAGCAATCCATTACCCGGAAGAGAAGAGCTTACTTCTCCGAACGGTAGCTACTGGAAGGAGGGTAGTATGCTAAAACCAATAGGATCTTCTTCTCAGGATAAGAGAGTACAACAATTCGAAGATGGTTCTGACTTTCATGATAGAAGGGGGAATGCTGTCCGTGTGAGAGAAAGCCAGGACGCTGCCACTGCTAGGAAGTCTCCAAGTCATGCAGGCTTTCATTCGAAGAACAATTTGAATGAGCCATTTGCTGTTAATCATGGTGGCCTACCTGATCTTGATTACTCTCAGAGAAAAGTTCAAAAGGATGAAACTCCTAGGGTAAAGCCTTACTACAGTAATGCTATCCCACCACCTTATGTAAAACCTAATTCTAAACTCAAGACCAGCACACACAAAACTGAATTAGCGCTTCCACATATTGACAATGATGCCATCCCAACAAATTCTTCAATGCATCAAAAGCCCGATGCTGCTTCTACGACAGAGAGAATCCGATCTGGTTTGGATAATTCTGAACAAGATTTGCAGGCCACTAGAAATGCACAGCAGAGTAAACAGGGCTATGAGAAAGAACCCTATGTTCACGAAGATGCTAAAGAATTCCCTGTTTTAAAACCAAAATCTGTGAGGCGTAAGCACTCAAAATCACGGTCTACACACAATGATGCTACCAAGGAAGATTCTGAAGTTGCAAACAAATCAAGGAGCAGGAGACGAGACGAATCAAGGCGTGGCCTACAAATTTTATTTGATGATGAGCAACATAAAAAAGACGAAGAGGAAAGGGTAATAGATAGATTACTGATGCACTACAGCAAAAAGCCATCATCCGTCACCGGGCCTGAAAAAGCAAGAAGAAGGTCTAGAAGTCGCCATGCACACCAAATGGATGATGGACCTGAGAAGACACCGGAGATGGCCCCTCACGCGCCTCGATCAGTTTCCCTTCCTCATGAACAATCACAAGAGATGGAAGTCAAGAAAGTGTTTACTCGAGCGGCTTCGTTTCAGCCGGATAGATCAAAAGAAGCTCGACATGTGCATCCCAATTTACCTGAGTATGATGATTTAGCTGCTAGGCTTGCGTCCTTGAGAGGAACATAAGAGAGTGAAATAATATACATGAATGAATACTCTTCTCTTATCAACATAATTATGTGATCACCGTGTTTTACTATGATGTACCGTTAGGGTACTGATGAAGAAGACTGCATGGTATGATATGTTAGGGTACTGATGAAGATTGTATGGTATGATGTTTTGTTAATTTGATTAAAATTGGTGACTATTCCAGAGCTGTGGTATTATTAATCAGCCATGGCTATGCCCATGTTGGTGGTGTGCAATTGTCTAGTCACCATTTTTACTAATGGCGGCAATCTACAACATCAATTCATATTTTTTCAAACCTTGTATGACTGTAAAAGTATTCTCAACAGTGATTGAGGATGTTTCAATTTCCTACTTGTTTAAGATAAACGTAGTTGAGGCTTGAAATGGATCGTGTTGAAGTTCTTGAAGTTTTAACACAAGTATTACCGATGTTGAAGTTGAATTGGTTTAATTTAACTGAAAAACAAGAGTGAAATTAATCATTCATTAAATAATGTATCGTTACATTGTTACAATTATTTTTAGAGTGAAAACCCATTTTAATTTCTCACAAGAACTACACCAGGTAATTTTCATTTTTCTCTAAAAATACAAAATTATGGCAAAACAAGTGTTGAACCATTGACCCCTTAAATACTAAAGGTGAAGGTTATGCAACTAGAGTCAATATGTTTTTCTTGAAAATTGCACAAATTAAATCCTCATTAATGTATTATTTTACTATTTCTGAATTATTAACCATACTTAAAACATTTTGATACTTAAAATATTTATTAAATAAATAAAATAATTAATTTATTTTAGAAATATTTACGTAAGATGTACCAAAATCGCAACATTCGATTCAAGAATATTTTAAATACATTCAAACATATTTAAATACTATTCAAATGTGTTTGAACTCAAAATATCTAAATTATTTGTAATTTTTATTTAAATGTGATTTTTTAATGCCATCCAACATATTTCAATACCCAATATTATTGAAATTGAATATTTAAATAAATTTTACAACCACTTAAATTATATTTAGATATTATTCTAACATATTTAATAAAATTCATATGTATATTATTTATTAACCCATTATATTATACCTATAAAATTCACATGTTCAAATAATATTACATTAAATTAATTTACTAAAATATATTTGAAGATATTAAAAATCACTCGTGTGTATGAATTTAAAAATTAAATCTAAATATATTTTAATATTAATTTATTAGTACTATTTAAAAAAAGTCTTTAAATATATATTTAATACGTAAATCATATAACTAAACGACACAATAACCTATTGATTATCTATTTTTTCCAACTTTTTTGAAGAGTGTTTCGAGTCTGGGGCAAAATTTAAAATATTTTTAAAATTTTGATAATTTTTAAGATTTAAATAATTGTATAATGAAATGAATATTACATAAATTTAAAATAATTCAAAATTAAAATATATAAAGCCATTTCACCATAAATGACATTAATTTTTTTTTTTTTAAATACTCGATCAACATGAGACATTGACATTTTTGATGAGTCAAATGATTCAGAATTAATATGACCCGGTTTAATTTTGTAAAGGATTAAATAATTTTTTTTGAGATTAATTTAGATTATATAATTTTTTTAGGGATCAAAATTAATATTCACTCTTATTTTTATTTAAAAATAAATTAATATAAAAATAATATAATATTGAATTATTGGACGGTGAGTACATATTCAATTAAATTCAAAATCATCTCAATGATTGCTATTACTAATAAGTTTTGCAACTCAAATCTACCCTACAACAATGACACATAACACGATCAAGATTCTATGAAAGGATGATATCTTTTATTTAGTGAATATTTATTCTGGTGAGACGAGTAAGAAGAGGAAATTGTGGAGTAACTTGATTAATTTAAAGAGAAAATTTTCAGATGGCCTCTGGATTATGGGAGGCAATTTTAATGCGGCTTCGTCTAATTCTGAAAGGAATGGTCAGAGTCTTTATTCTAGATCTTCGGAACAGAGAGATTTCTTGGCTTTTATGTTTGAGGCTAACATGGTTGATCTCCCTGTTTCTAGGAATAACTTTACGTGGTTTAGCGGAGATGGAAAATCTATGAGTAAATTATATAGATTTTTAGTTGATGATTCAATTATTAATAAGTGGGGGGTGATTGGTCAATCGGTTGGTAAAAGAGACGTATCGGACCACTGTCCGAATTAGGTGAAAATTAAGGCTGTCAATTGGGGATTCAAACCCTTCAAATCAAATGACGTCTGGTTTGATAATCCTATGTTTCTTAAATTTATTGAGAAAGAATGAAACAAGATTTTTGTGCGTGGTAGGAGTGATTTTGTGGTTAAAGAGAAGCTCAAAATTCTGAAGGGAAAGATTAAAAATTGGAGTGTCGATGTTTTTGGTTGGCATGAGCTTAAAGTTGAGAAGAATGTTAGGGAGATCAATGAATTAGATCTTAAGTTGTCTCTGTGTGAAGCTGAGGAAATTGAGAAACTAGTCGTAAAGAGATCATTGACGTGCAAAGAAATGTGGCGAAACCTTTATATCAAAGATAACATGCTCATTTAAAAAGCTAGAATCAAATGGAACAAAGAGGGAGATTGCAATTCTAGATATTTTCACAGTTTGATCAAGGAGAGTGCTAGGAGTAATTCATTGGTTCAGTAAACACATAGTTCGAAATGGTGGAATCCGTGGAGGAAGTGAAGGAGGCTGTGTGGTCTTTCTTCAAAAATAAATTCTCAGAACCTGAATCTTGCAGATCTGTTTTGGATGGCTTCACTTTTAATTCTTCATCAAAGGCTGAAGTTGAGTTTCTTGAGGCTCCCTTTACTGATGTTGAGATCAAATATGCGGTTTGGAGTTGTGAGGGTTCGAAAAGTCCTGACTCGGATGGATACAACTTTGTATTTATCAAGAAGTGTTGGTCGATTCTAAAGGTCGACATTACTCATTTTTTTATCAGATTTCCATAATCACGCTTTTCTTCATAAAGTCATTATGTCTTCATTCATAACTCTCATCTCAAAAGTTGGTTCTTTATCCAACTTAGGGGATTACAGACCGATTAGTTTGGTTGGTTGGTTGTATAAAATTACAGCAAAGGTTTTGGCAGCAAGGTTGAAAATGGTTGTCAACAGTCTTATATCTCATTGTTAGACAACATTTGTCCCTGGTAGATAAATGTTGGAATGGGTGGTTATAGAAAACGAGGTGTTTGACATAACTACAAGGGAGAATAGGGAATGTTTGCTCTTTAAAGTCAATTTTGAGAAGGCCTATGACTGTGTCAATTGGAATTTCCTTCGCTTGATGATGGATTCAATGGGTTTCGGTAAAAGATGGAAGAGTTAGATAGAGGCGTGTATTTTCAAAAGTCATATCTCTGTCTTGGTAAACGGAAACCCAACAAAGGATTTCGAGGCAGAACACGGTCTTAGACAGGGAGACCCTTTTGTAACACCCTTTTCTACCCCAACATTATTAAGACAAAAATAACACAAAAATCAGGGTGAATAAATAAATCTCATAAAAAGCCACCAAAAGGTCGTACATTTCTCAAAGTCATCAAAATAGGTTCATACTCCGTAACTACGGGTTTTCCCCAAAATACATCAAAACATCATAAAACAGCGGAACTCAAAGCATAAATCAAAGTTTTCCTCAAAAAGGGAAATTAATCAAAATAACTTCAACAATATAAAATCAACTCAAAGAACCCAACCCAATGTTACATATCAGAGCAAGACCCTCTAAGCTAACCAAAAGGCTAAAACACTCAAAAACTTCAAAAAATACTCCTCGACGGCGTCCACGACTAAACTAGGTCATCTGCACGTTATCCACGTGGAGGTAACATTCAAACAGGCAGGGTGAGTAAAATTGTTCATAATAATAAATGTATAACAATTAATGCATCAACGACATCATCATTATATTCAACACATTCATATTCCTCAAATATGCCTCAAAGGCCACAACATCATCATTTATACAAAAGACCCAGAAATGAAAATGCAACATAGACTCAATGCATGTGGTACCAATCATCACAGCGCGATGGACACTGGGCCATCAACCCTCCATAGATCCCCATCAATAGGATCGATTCTACTTTAGAATCGGAGCACATCAAAATACTTCACATCCACACAATGGGATTGAAGACAAAGTAATCGAGGTCCTGAACCGAAGTCCGGATGCACATGAGTGCATGATGCACACGTCACAATAATAATCCTCATAATACAACATATGGTGCATCATCATTCATCATATTCATCATCATCACATAAATCATCATATCTCATGTTATCACTTAATTCATCAAATCATGGTAATTTCATCATGTTAATTCAATTAATACATCATAGAAACCATCATGTCATCATGTATATATCACCCAAAACCCACTGTCATACTCATGGTAATCCATCACAGAAATCACAGATTCACACATCACGGCATCGCTGCGCACAATCAAATTTCGCGAAACTCTGCTACGTTGCCGGCATGCTCACTAGGCGAGTCGGGGCAAGTTTATTTGCTAGGAGAAGCTTTCTTCGCTATGCGAGTCTGGAAAAAACATGGTTTTCTAGGCGAAGCTTCCCTTCGCTAGGCGAACAGTGCGATGACAGCAAAAACTGCTACGCACCAGAACTGATTTTCACTCAAATACTCATACGATTTACTTACCCAATGCCCCAAAAACATCCCTAAATCATCCCTAAGGTCCTACGGCGGTAAAGGCACAGAACCTACGGTTTATTAGGCCAATCTCGGGACATATTCATGTCCTAAACCACAATTTTCCTGCAATTACCCTAAAGGCATCATAATTTCTCATAACACCTATCTCTATCCCTTCAAGGTCGGACGCATGTCACCCCATAGTTTTGGCCACGAAGGCCTAAGGTTTCCTAATCCTCATATCAGATATTTAATATTCAGTGATACATATCATAAACCATAATCTTAGAGTCTTATCGTCAATTTCCCTAATTTTCCCACAATCAACCCAAAATACCTTAAATCTTAACCCCACCATAAACACACCGAAAGACCTACATAGAAAATCATGAAAAGCGATACTCCCCATACCTTAGTCGATTCGCAGCTTTCACGATTAACTTTTGGGATCTTCTCCTCCAACCTTTCCTTTAGAGCTCTGGCCACCAAACTTTCACGGTTAACACAAATAAATTCTAATTTCCCTTCAGAACTCAATTTTGTCAAACCTAGTCTTGAGCCTCACAAATTGGGTTTTTACCTCATTACCCTTACTAACTCCTTCAAATGCCCAAATTACCCTTATTTCACTTATATTCATTTTAATTAATAATAATACTAATAAATTAATATTATATGCTATTAATTAAATAAATACCTGAAAATGCACATTTTTTCAATACTTCTCAAAACCACCGAAAATTCACCGAAACATGAATATTCTCAATTAAATAATTAATTAAAATATTCCGATTAAATTTGGGGTGTTACAACTCTCCCCCACTTAAAAGAATTTCCATCCTCGAAAATTACCTCAAGAAAACAGAGTCGGATACGACTCCTTCATCTGATCTTCACGTTCCCAAGTCCAATTTTCTCTAGCTGGTCCTCCCCACAATACCTTCACTAAGACAATCTTTTTACCTCGCAGCTGCTTCACTTCTCGTTCGTCAACCCGAACAGGCAACACCTCAACAGTCAAATCATCTCGCACTTGTACATCATCCATCTGAATCACATGCGACAGATCTGAAATGTACTTCCTCAACTGAGATACATGAAACACATCATGTAAATTTGCAAGTGACGGCGGTAAAGCAATCCGATAGGATACTTCCCCCACCCTCTGTGAAATCTGATACGAACCAACAAAACGTGATGTGAGCTTTCGAGACTTCAAAGCTTGACCAACACCATTTACCAGTGTAACTCTCAGAAACACGTGATCTCCCTCTTGGAACTCAAGTGCTTTCTTCCTCTTATCATGATAACTCTTCTGACGACTCTGCGACGCTTTCATCTTTTCTTGGATCATCTTGATCTTTTCAGTCATCTCTTGCATAATTTCAGGTCCGAGTACAACACTCTCGCCTGACTCACACCAACACAAAGGAGTCCTACACCTCCTACCATACAAAGCCTCATACGGTGTCATTCCAATACTAGAATGGTAACTGTTATTGTAGGTAAACTCAATCAACGGCAAATGACTATCCCACGATCCACCTTGATCCAACACACAAGCTTTCAGCAAATCCTCTAAAGACTGGATAGTTCTCTCTGTCTGTTCATCTGTCTGCGGATGATAAGCAGAACTCAACCTCAACTTAGTACTCAACGCTGTCTGCAAACTTTCCCAGAATCTCGACGTAAATCTCGGATCTCTATCCGACACAATACTCGACGGAACACCATGCAACTTCACAACCTGCTTAATATATAATTCAGCAAGCTTCTACAACGAATAATTGATCCTCATCGGTACAAAATGAGCCGATTTAGTCAATCTATCAACAATTACCCAAATTGAATCATATCCTTTCAAAGTCTTCGGCAAACTTGTCACAAAATCCATAGAAATGCTATCCCATTTCCATTCTGGAATGCTCAATGGTTGCATCAGACCCGACAGTCTCTGATGTTCAATCTTCGACTTCTGACAAGTCAAACAAGCATAGACAAATTCTGCAATTTCCTTCTTCATACTCGGCCACCAAAACAACTTCTTCAAATCTTGATACATCTTTGTGGCACCAGGATGAATACTCAACCCGCATATATGACCTTCTTCGAGAATGCTCTTCTTGATTTCTGGCACATCGGGAACACATACTCTGTCTCGGAACATCATCACACCATTCTCATCGATTCGGAAATCACCTCCATTACCTTGATTAATTAACGTGAGACGATCCACCAAACCTAAATCATATTTCTGACCTTCTTCGATCTCTTGGAGAATACTACTAGTCAACTTCAGCATACCCAACTTCACACTGTTAGGAGTCCCTTTGTAAACCAAACTCAAATCTCTGAATTGCTCAATCAGTTCTAACTCTCGAACCATAAGCATCGACATATGCAAGGACTTCCTACTTAACGCATCAGCCACAACATTAGCCTTACCCGGATGGTAACTCAATTCAAAATCATAATCCTTCAGAAGTTCAAGACATCTTCTCTGCCTCATGTTCAACTCCTTCTGATCAAACAAATACTTCATACTCTTGTGATCACTGAACACTTTGAATTTGGACCCAAAAATACAATGTCTCCAAATCTTCAACACAAACACCACAACGGCCAACTCTAAGTCATGCATAGGATAATTTCTTTCATGAATCTTCAGTTGTCTGGAAGCATAAGCAACAACCTGACCATTCTGCATTAATACACCTCTAAGACCCATCTTCGACGCATCACAATACCAACAAAAGACTCACTCGGATTCGGCAAAATCAATACCAGAGCAGTCGTCAACTTCTTCTTGAGTTCTACAAAACTCTTCTCACAAGCTACATCCCACACATAAGCTTGACCCTTTCGAGTCAACTGAGTCAAAGGCAGTGACAACTTAGAAAAGCCTTCTATAAACCTGCGATAATAACCAGCCAACCCAAGGAAACTTCGGATCTTAGTAGAAGACCTTGGAGTCTCCCACTACAACACAACATCAATCTTCGACGGATTAACATCAATCCCTCCACTAGAAATCACATGGCCAAGGAAACTCACTTCCTTCAACCAAAACTCACATTTAGACAACTTGGCATAAAGCTTCTTGTCCTTCAAAACCTGCAATACAACTCTTAGATGTTGCACATGTTCTTCTTCAGACTTAGAATATATCAAAATATCATCAATAAACACCCCCACAAAATGATCCAAATAAGGATGGAAAATCCTATTCATATACTCCATGAATACACCAAGTGCATTAGACACACCAGATGGTATCACAGTAACCTCATAGTGCCCATACCTCGTCCTGAAAGCTGTCTTCGGAATATCATCAGGCTTAACGTGGATTTGATGATAACCAGACCTCAAATCAATCTTGCTAAACACACAAGCACCCACCAATTGATCCATCAAATCATCAATCCTCGGAAGTGGATACTTATTCTTAATCGTCACTTTATTCAATTGCCGATAATCCACACACAATCTCATACTACCATCTTTCTTCTTCACCAATAAAGCAGGAGCACCCCATGTAGAAACACTCAGCCTAATAAACTTCTTCTCAAGAAAATCTTCCAACTGTTTCTTCAATTCTCCTAACTCAGATGCAGACATCCGATAAGGAGCCATCGGCACATGACTAGTGCCTGATATTACATCAATAGTAAACTCTACCCCACGCTCAAGAGGTAAGTCGCTCATGTCTTCTGGGAACACCTCTGGAAATTCCCGAACCACTGGTAGTTCTACGCCCACTTCTTCACAATCAACTTGAAGTGATGCAAACAAAGTAAACATATGAGCCTCATCTTCCAAGAGTTCTTCCACTTGCTTGGCAGATACAAACATCAGTTCTCCACCATCGCCAAACTCAGGAAATCTCACAGTCTTGCTATAACAATCAATGTGAACATAGTTGTACTCTAACCAGTTCATCCCAAGGATAACATCAATTTGATGCAAAGGTAGACATACCAAGTCCATCACAAAATTCTTATCATAAATAGTCAAAGGGCAGCTCAAACATACTAACGCAGTAGTCACAGAACCATTAGTCGGGGTATCAATGACCATCTCCCAATCATAGAAGACAATTTCAAATTCAACTTCTTAGCACATTCAAGCGAAATAAAGGAATGAGTAACACCAATATCAATTATAGAAATCAATACAACAACATTAATAAAACAAGTACCTCTGATCAAGTTATCTGTCTTGGCTTCTTCTGCACCACTCAAAGAAAATACTCTGCCACTTGTTTGAGCAGCAGTAGCAGTCTTCTTCGACTGCTGACATTGGGTACTAATATGACCCTTCTCTCCATAGTTGAAGCAATTCGGAGCTTCATCTTTACAATCAGTAGATTTATGACCCCTCTTGCCACAACGGTGACATCTCAGCGCTTTACAATTCTCGGCACGGTGGCCTTGCTCGCCACACTTATAACACTTACCTGGAGCAGTAGTCGCTCCCCCAATTGGCTTTTTCCCATCAGAAGTCTTCTGCTTTCCTTTATCACCAGAAGTCACATACGGTTTTCCTCGGAACTGACCTTTCTCTTTCTTCTCACTCAGCTGCTTGAGTGAGTAGATCGAGCTCGACTATCCTCATCATAAATTCTGCTCTTGTCCATCATTTCCGAAAACCGACAAATCTGCTGATACCCAATTCCCTGCTTAATCTCTGATCTCAAACCATTCTCAAACTTGAGACACTTCACATCTCTGCGTCAACACGGTTGTAATGTGGACAAAACTTGACCAAAGACTCAAACGTTGCCGCGTACTCAGCCACAGTCATATTACCTTGTCTTAGCTCAAGAAACTCTACTTCTTTCTTTCCTCGAACATCTTCAGGAAAATAATTCCTCAAAAACTCTTCCTTGAATACAACCCAAGTTACTGCAATGCCAGCATCTCCCAATCTCTGACGAGTGTTATCCGACCAGTCTTCAGCCTCCTCTTCCAGCATATGCATACCAAAATGTACTTGCTGCGCATCAGTGCACGCCATAATTCGGAAAATCTTCTCAATCACTTTTAGCCACTTCTGCGCACCATCAGGATTATGAGTGCCCACAAAAGTCGACGGATTGTTCCTCTGAAACTTTCCCAAAGCACAGAACTCATCTGAAGGTCCACCATTCTGAGCCATCACTTGGGCAAGTGATTCCAGCGCATCAGTAATAGCACGATCATTCCTTCCTGCCATCTACAACCACCAACAAGGTTAAAAGAAAACAACTCATCAATAGTGTTCTCACACTATTGACTGACAGGGGACTAACAACATAAAAACTTGGCCGGACGGACGGACCTGCTCTGATACCACTAATGTAACACCCTTTTCTACCCCAACATTATTAAGGCAAAAATAACACAAAAATCAGAGTGAATAAATAAATCTCATAAAAAGCCACCAAAAGGGCGTACATTTCTCAAAGTCATCAAAATAGGTCCATACTTCGTAACTACGGGGTTTCCCCAAAATACATCAAAACATCATAAAACAGCGGAACTCAAAGCATAAATCAAAGTTTTTCTCAAAAAGGGAAATTAATCAAAATAACTTCAACAGTATAAAATCAACTCAAAGAACCCAATCTGATGTTACATATCAGAGCAAGACCTCTAAGCTAACCAAAAGGCTAAAACACTCAAAAACTTCAAAAATACTCGTCGACGACGTCCACGGCTAAACTGGGTCATCTGCACGTTACCCACGTGGAGGTAACATTCAAACAGGAAGAGTGAGTAAAATAGTTCATAATAATCAATGTATAAAAATTAATGCATAAACAACATCATAATTATATTAAATACATTCATATTCCTCAAATATGCCTCAAAGGCCACAACGTCATCATTTATAAAAAAAGACCCAGAAATGCAAATGCAACATAGACTCAATGCATGTGGTACCAATCATCACAGTGCAATGGACACTGGGCCATCAAATCTCCATAATCCTCATCAATAGGATCAATTCTACTTGAGAATCGGAACACATCAAAATACTTCACATCCACACAATGGGATTGAAGCCAAAGTAATCGAGGTCCTGAACCGAAGTCCGGATGCACATGAATGCATGATGCACACGTCATAATAATAATCCTCATAATACAACATATGGTGCATCATCATTCATCATATTCATCATCATCACATAAATCATCATATCTCATGTTATCACTTAATTCATCAAATCATGCTAATTTCATCATGTTAATTCAATCAATACATCATAGAAACCATCATGTCATCATGTACATATCACCCAAAACCCACTGTCATACTCATGGTAATCCATCACAGAAATCACAAATTCACACATCACGACATCGCTGCGCACGATCAAATTTCACGAAACTCTGCTACGTTTGCTGGCATGCTCACTAGGCAAGTCGGGGCGTTTCTTCGCTAGGCGAAGCTTTCTTCCCTAGGCGAGTCTGGAAAAAACATGGTTTGCTAGGCGAACAGTGCGATGACAGCAAAAACTGCTACGCACCAGAACTGATTTTCACTCAAATACTCATACGATTTACTTACCCAATGCCCCCAAAACATCCCTAAATCATCCCTAAGGTCCTACCACGATAAAGACACAAAACCTACGGTTTATTAGGCCAATCCTGGGACATATTCATATCCTAAACCACAATTTTCCTACAATTACCCTAAAGGCGTCATAATTTCTCATATCACATATCTCTATCCCTTCAAGATCGGACGCATGTCACCCCATAGTTTTGGCCACGAAGGCCTAAGGTTTCCTAATCCTCATATCAGATATTCAATATTCAGTGATACATATCAAAAACCATAATCTCAGAGTCTTATCGTCAATTTCCCTAGTTTTCCCACAATCAACCCAAAATACCTCAAATCTTAACCTCACCATAAACACACCGAAAGGCATACATATAAAATCATGAAAAGCGATACTCCCCATACCTTAGTCGATTCGCAACTTTCACGATTAACTTTTGGGATCTTCTCCTCCAACCTTTCCTTCAGAGCTCTGGCCACCGAACTTTCACGGTTAACACAAATAAATTATAATTTCCCTTCAGAACTCAATTTTGTCAAACCTAGTCTTGGGCCTCACAAATTAGATTTTTCCCTCATTACCCTTACTAACTCCTTCAAATGCCCAAATTACCCTTATTTCACTTATATTCATTTTAATTAATAATAATACTAATAAATTAATATTATATACTATTAATTAAATAAATACCTGAAAATGCACATTTTCCCAATACTTCTCAAAACCACCGAAAATTCACTGAAACATGAATGTTCTCAATTAAATAATTAATTAAAATATTCCGATTAATTTTGGGGTGTTAAACCTTTGTCTCCTTTCTTTTTGTTTTGGTCACTGAAGGATTGACTCAATTGATGAAGAAGGCTGTTAATAGTGGAATGTTCAAGGGTTTTGCAGTGGGACCGAGAATTTCCATGGATATCATCCAATTCGCAGACGACACACTCATAATTGGAAAAGGTGGATGGCAAAATCTTTGGAGCATGAAATCCATCTTGAGGGGTTTCAGAATTTTATCGGGTTTGAAGGCTAATTTTTACAAAATTAGGCTTATGGGTTTGAATGTGAGTGATCATTTTCTTTTGGCTGCTTCGAATTTCCTATCTTACATAATCGACTGTCCTTCTTTTAGCTTTTTAGGAATACCTATTGGTTGTAATCCACGGAGAGTTAAAACTTGAGAGCCTTTTGTCGAGAAGTTTAAATCAATCTTGGCATCGTGGAGAGGGAGATTATTAACAATGGCGTGGCATTTGATTTTAATAAACTCTGTTTTATCTAACTTACCAATTTTTTGGCTTTCTTTTTACAAAATTCCTGCTTCGATTTTGAGTATTATGGACAAGTTGAGGAACAGGTTTTTGTGGGAAGGTTGTGACGATAATTCGAAAATCCATTGAATAAGGTGGAATGTTGTTTGTCAACCTAAGAAGAAGGGGGTTTGGGAGTTATCAGTTTGAAAGAATTCAACTTGGCCCTCCTGACCAAGTGGAAATGGAAGATGTTGGAAGATAAAGTTTCTGTGTGAAAGGAGGTTCTTATAGGGAGGTATGGGTGTGTTGAGAACAAGATGTTGTTGGATTCGTATAAACCAAAGAGAGCTGCATCTTTTTGGTGGAAGGATTTATTTAAGAGTGGGGTTGTTTCAACTAACCATGGTTTTTCTTTTGCAGGTTAAATTTGTCACAAAATTGGTGAGGGTAAAACGATTCCTTTTTGTTCGGCGGATTGGTTAAATTCTTCTCCTCTCGCTGTTCAATTTAGTACCCTATTTGAGCATAGATCCTATAAAGATGCGTTGGTGTTTTCAATAGGAAACTGGTGTTGTTGTGGTGAAAATTGGATTCCAAGCTATAAAATTAACTTGAATCAAAATTATTGAAGTTCACCATTGAGCTTTGATTTATCCAAAGGAAAGGGTATAGTTCGAAGAAAACCCTAAGTGCACTATGTAACAATAAAGTTAAGAGAATCTAGGGTTATGCCTAGGGAAGGTACTAGCATCCTAAGTATCTGTAGTACTCTATAGGAACCTCTTGTTAGTATTTGTGTTATGCTAAAGTTTTCTTGTTAAGGTTAGTGCTATAGGTAAAGACCTAGGGTATGTACAAAGTATGCTTGCCAAGATATCACATCTCGTGCCTACGTATTATAACTAGGATGTAATCAGAGCATTCATAGTCCATCTACGGTTGGTGAGGAAATCTTGATTATGGTCAAGGTCCTAAGGGGAAAGGTAGGTGTCTGTGGCAAGACACTTACATAGAGTGCGACGACTCTAAACCTAAGGCTATTTTAAAAGGAAAAGATGAGTAAGTGTCTATGGCAGGAACTTACATAGAGTACGACGACTCTAATCTTAAGGCTAGGATGAAAGGGTAAGACTCTAACAAAATCTCAAGGGAATGGTGGACAAGGTTATCCTAAATATGACATGGAAGTCAATTGGGGATGATCATTTCCTTTGGAATGTCACTGGTAAGATAGGTGTAAGAAGGAAGGAGAATCTATGAGAGACTGAATCTTAAGTGTTGTCATACAATGATGGTCCTAAAGTCGGGATTAAAGTGAAAATGCTAACCTAACATTGTCATACAAGGATTAAGAACCTAAAATCTATCTTACTTCAATCTTAATCAAAAATTAGGTCGAGTTCGAAGATCCTAACAGAACATGCGAGAATAAAGCTAGCAAAATAGGGTATATACACGAGCAATCAAGATAAATCAATAAGAGGAAGAGGATCAAAGCACAAAGGTACTAGACACGAAATAAAATTAGGCACATAGAAAATAATATGACAGAAAATATGAGCACAAGTATATGATGGTGATCAAGTAAGTGGCAAGAGTGCAAATGATGGTTCAATGAAGGAGAACAGTCTCATCTTTGATCAAGAGTTTCGAGTGATTAATCAAGGGTAACCTATCAATGCCTCAAAGTGTCAAGAATGATCCAAATGACCATTTATCAATGAATTTGAAATAATGAAGATTCAATCAACCTTGCAACCATTCCTCCATGATTTTTATATTTTCATCAACTGATTAATCACAAAAGTGAACCAAAAAGAAAATAATAATAAAAATGAAGTGGAATTGTTTTAGAAAATGAAACAAATTGATGTTGAAAAATAATTAGAAATTAGAAGAAGATTAAGATAGTAAAAATTACAAAAGCAAAATTAAAGAAAAAAATAAAAGATAATGATAATAAAAAATAAAAAAAAAAGAGTGAGAGGGGTAGAATTAACGCAGACCAGAGGTGTGAATTACATCTCAGATGGGCCTTTTCTTAAGAAGCAACAATATTAGAAAGCAACAATATTATACGTTCTTGAAAGAAAACCAACAACTTTTTTCTTAAGAAAAATGGAAAAAATTAGGTCCAAAAACAACTTAAGGTCCTTAAATTAAAAAACAAGGTGAGGAAAATTCAAAAGGGAAAACAACAACTATCAATACACGTCATTCCTCATTCCAACCTTTCCTTCTTTTTTCTGATTTCAACTCCTCCCTCCAGTATCTCAATTTGTTTCTTCCGCCTTCGTCTCCCTCTCAGGTTCGAGTGGTTTTGCGCTTCAGATTTGGGTTTCGATTTCGTTTCAGGTAAGATTCATTTTATTAATATTGCTCGTGTTATTCTTCTCCTCAAATTCTCTTCATCTCACTCCATCTCTATACTTTCTGGTTCTGATATGTGATTGGGTTTTTGGTTGAAAGAGGCGATTGTTATTGTTGAGGGATGTTTGATGTTGAAGGTTATGAAATGATCTGGATTCATTTGCAAGTGGTTTATTGAGGGTTTATGATTTTGGGTAATTTTGATTGAAGTTTAAGTGGTGATAGTGAATGAAAAGTTGAACAGAGAGTGAAAAAATATTTTGGAGAAGATTTATGATTTGTGGGATTTTTAAGTTGATAGCGAAGAACGAAAAAAGGAGAAGGTATCTTGATGGTGAGTTTTATCAGAATTTTTTTCCTTCCAATCTCCCTTCCCTGTTCTCAATTTCTTTGTATACATTCTCTCTCTTCTTCTTAAAACAATTTAAAATTCATTGATTAGTCCTTTTTATTTGTCTGTTGTTCTACCATGTTATATCATTTTCAGCATAGCAGGATTTGTTATTTTGTTGTGGCAGCAGGGGTGACGAGTTGGTCAAAGTGTGCAGCGAGTTATAGGTTTAAGGAGGAAATGCTTTGGCATTTATGTTGGAGGGTTGTGTAGAGGTTTTGTAGTAGGTTTAGGCGTGTTACAGGGTGTAATTTGGTGCATCGATTTGGAGCAGCAAGCATAGTTTGTCTTGTGGTTTTTGCAGGCAATTTTGGAGGTTTTGTTTGAAATATTTTGGTGTACAGGTTGCTATTTTGTATGAATTTGAGCAGTGTTGGGAGGGTTTTTTGTTGGTAGGATGTGATGCAGGTTATGGGTTACTAGTTCACAGGTTTTTTTGGGATGTGGTTTGAGTGTTTTGGAGTTTTGTAGACTGATGTGTTGCTGTTGAATTTTGAAAAGTTGGTTAAAGTTTGGAGCTGCAGTGATGCGCTGGAATTGTGGCATCCTTGGCTTGTATTATTTCCACTTTTGGAACGTGTAAACTGTAATTGGATTGAGACAACTTTAGCTCTCCTTTTTTAGTGATTGTAATTTGGGCCTTTTAATGTATTTTTGCAATTCTTGTTTTCTATGGCAAATGGGCTTGGATTAAAGAAGAAAAAAAACTTATTGGACATCTTGCAAATGGATTTTTATTTATTATTATTGAAGTGAATATGGGTATGAACGTGGACTAAACATTAAAATGGAATGAAAAGTGGATAATGGGAAAAAGATGTGGATAATGAATTATGAAAAATGAAAATGGATTAGAAAAAATGGGAAAATAAATTGAATAAAGATGATGGGAATAGATAAATTAAATTTGGTAAAGTGGAAATGGATTAGAATGAAAATGGATGATTATATAAAAAAGGAATTGGGTCTTAATCTTGAAACTATGAATGATATTGAATTTTGAAATGAGAACTTGTAATTGAGTGTGAATTGAAAAAGATGAAAGAAATTGAAAGGAAATTGGAAAATTGGATGAAATGGAAAGGAAATTGGAAAATTGAATGAAGATGAATTTGATCACTTAAGCTTGATTTGGAAAGAAACATTGACTTGAAACTTGGAATTTGAATGAGATTGAAGAAAAAGAACTTGAATATGAGACTTGAAATTCGATGATTTGTACATGAAGATTCAAATTGGAACGTAAATTGGTCTTAAATAGGAATTGAAATTGGATAGAAATTGGACGATGAATCTCGAATGGAATTTGTGAATTGATATGGAACTATAATCTTGAATAAAAATTGACCATTTGGATCTTAAATGAAGTCATAACTCAGAAATTGAATTTTGAGCTTGAATCTTTGAATTTCGACCAAACCATGAATCAATTCAAAAAGTGAACATCTTGAAACAATTTTGATTAAGTAACACTCCTGACTTGATCCAACAAATTGTCCTCAAGACCATATTTCAAAACCTTGAACTCTTTATTAAAATTGCACCAGAAATGTGTTGAAACTTTGAATCAAATCCATGAGACATAACACCACATTCTGATTCCAACTTGAAATGAACTTGAATTGAACAGAAAGCTTGAATCTTCCTTTGAAAAGAAAAACATGAACCACATAATTAGGATTTGAGGTAACTGACTGAATGTCTTAACTTTAAATGGCTCTTACATCTTGATTTCATCAGATAAACTTGAACTTTGCATAAAACCCTGATTCAGATTCTCAAATACAAGTACTTGAATTCAGTCCACACACTTATCCTCAAAATAATCCATGGCACATATGACTTGAGATACTAACTGCACTGCCACTTTACCAAAACCCTAATTTAAATTCAATTGGACCTGACGGATATTCACCCTAAAAAAAACTGCCTTTGCCACAGTCTAATAACTTGATCTTGAAACAAAACACTTATTTGACCTAGATTAGGTCAAACTTCTATTGAGTTTCAAACCACACCGCACACCTTTGACCTGATTACTTTGCCTGATCCTTAATTCAGTCTCGCAAGACCTAAGCCTCGAAGAACTTGTGATAAAACCAAATTGCACTGGATTATTGAGGAAGAGAGGCCTTTTGAGAGTATGAGAACTTACTTGGTTAGTGAT